TACGCATGTACCTACTTTGGATTTATTTAACAATATAAGAATCCTTTTTAGTGTCAACTTCTTGGCCCTCTAATCAAACATTCCACTGCATTGTGATAGTTATAGTAAGATCTTCGCGTGGGTATTGATTCAATAAGAACAGTGTCAGAAAACTCAAATAATAAATAAAAGGGAATAGTGAAAAAGGAAAGTTCGTAGGTATAATGCGTCCCACTGCGGGGCGCAAGCCTATCATTTTTAAGCGGTTTTTCACGTGTAAGGCCACATAGGAAATAACGTTTCGGAATTTCGAACGGGTCAGCCTACACACATGCGGAATCCCGTTTTACCCATAAAATTTTGAACGGAAAACTACAGTACGCGTGTGACGGGGCCTTGATTTTATATGGACTTGCTTCGTTCGGAATTCCGAAATTTCGGAATTCCATATCTATGTGGCCGGCCTAAAGACTTGAACTTTGATTTTTTAGACGTGCAGTTTTGAACTCACGGTGTTTTCTTTCATCGCACAAAAATAAATGGTGTGACGAAAATCAAACTCGTTTTGCTCACGTACTACGCTATTTTAAGGCGGGTGTTATCTCTTGAGCTACTGTAATGTAATGTAATGTTGAAAATTACTATTATGTATTATCAAGTACTATTATTTATTCTGTGGTTAATGTAAATTCGGTGTATTTAAAATAACTAGTTTATAATTGCGCTGTCATGATTCGTTAACTTTTACAAGCCAATACATTTATAAAAATATGGTGTATATATTATACGTAAACATGAATATCTTATATTAAGAAATAATGATCGACGTCTTCGTTTTCTAGGAAATAGTACTAATAATCTAAAAGTTAAATTATCTAAGATAAGAAAGTCATTCATATATGTGGGGCAATGCAATAAAATTTCGTATATTGACATTTTTGACTAAGCGATTGGAATGTTATCTGTAAAAAAATTACAAAAAGAGGATACTTGCACAGTTTCTTTCGCCTTACTTTACGTTTCGTTACGTTCACCGAAACCTCGTTATGAAACGGTAGTAGCAATATTTAAAAAAAAATGCATTATATAAACTAAGTTTTATTTTTTACGTTGAAGAAATAAATATACTTCATTTCATTTCACTGTACAAATTTTTTTTTTTCAAACTAACGACTAAAACCATTATTTACGGATTTTATTGCGGTTTAATTACTTTTTGTTTTTACTATCCCGACGTTTCGGGTGCTTTACAGCACCCATGGTCACGGGGGGGGACTGAGATATTTGACCATTGATTTATATAACACTAGATCAGTAATAACCGCGCCAAAGCGTTGCCACTGCACATATGGCCACAGCCATATGCCTAGCTAACGTGAGTTCATTGTTCAATGTGACGCCGACAGAGTTGAGCCGCGACAAAAATGGGTAAATGCGTAGTGAAAGAATGCTATTCAAGGTCACAAAAATGTAATAAATCAAACGGAATTACTTTCAACACATAATTTTTAGTTCTTGTTTTCATATAAACGTAAAAAACCTCAAATAATTAAATAAAATTATCGAATATTGCCATTTAGGTTCAATGTTGCCACTTTTCCGCATTTGTGATTATACTACATTAATGGTAGACACTATAATTAATGGAGTAAGTTAATTTGTTACCTCTGATTTTAAATATTTTGGAAATTATAATAAGAACTACGTTTTAACTTTCATACAAAATAATTAATTATTCTTATTTTAGTTTATTCATGAATTATCTATTAAATATATTTTATTACCTATTTTATATTAATAAATTAATATTATTTATAATTTCATATAAATTTTATATTAAGTAATTATATTTTATTACCTATTTTATATTGTTTGATTTATTAGTACCATAAAAATACGTTTTATTTCATCATTATGTTTACTTACATTCATCTGATAAGCTTTGTATCCTTTTTTCTAAGAGGACGTAATAAAGATTTTAAAATAAAATATACTTTTTTTAATATAAAAACAATTAACTGCAGCTTTAAAAAACTCATTTTTATTGCGTATTTTAGGTAAAATTTCATATAGTAAGCCACACCAACCCGCCATTGCATGTTTGTGTGTCTATCTTTATCTAATCTTAGCGACGATATTGTTTTCGCAACTTGTGTAAGTGAGATAGATATATGTTTACTTAAAATTGTTATTAGTTTCAAAGCTACGTCGTCGCGTTTGGATAGTGGTTACACTTTTTTCGACTCGCGATAATGTGGTTTGCTCCTCTAGTGTTGTATAACTCAATGTATTTGACGTCCCAATGTTAGTCCGGCTACCTTCAGTTTTTGAATATTAATTTTTGGTCTTAATTAATTAAATAATTGGTTGGTTTGGGTTTAATTTTGTTAATTATAGGATCCCAAGCTGCTGGCAGCACACATCCATCTTCTCTATTGAAATTTGGATGTTTTTTAATTTCAATAGCCTTGCGTATCATCCTTAGTAGGAATCGGTGTTCTTTTGCGAGGATTTGTGGTTTATCAAATCGAATGTAATGGTGGGGACGATCTTGAACATGTTCGCAGACTGCAGACTTCCCGGAGCGTCGGTGCTTCACGTCAGCTATATGTTCCTTCACGCGGGTTTTTATAGATCGTTTTGTTTGACCTATGTAAGAGAGCGCATGAAGGAACATATAGCTGACATAGGCTGCCAGCAGCTTTTGGGATCCTATAATTATTCTAAAAAAATATGACCTATCAATTCTATACGGTTACAGGACAATTTTGGGTCCTGATACTGAAGCTTTCCTCGGGAGGGAGAACCGGAAAAATAAATGTGTGCGGTTAGCAGTGAGCAGCGTTCGGTTCGCAATGCACTCCTCTCCCTGAAGACGAAATGGTATCATGTTCGCGTAGGTTTTAAAGGGATGAAGCAGACGCAGTCAGGGGATCGGCGCGCAAACGGGGTCACGGTCCAGCTAGCTGCTAGCAATATTCCGTTTATCTACTCATGTATCGTAAACGATACGTGAATACGGTTTTAAAAAACGTGTATATGTACATGTATACGTGTATGTAATGTATGAACAACAAATGTAAGCCCCTCAATTTCACCATCCCCCAAACGGTCCACTGCTGGACAGGTGTCTCTCCCATGGTAGAGAGCATTCACTATGATCGTCACGCTTGCTAAGCATGGCAGGTAATCACCACCTGGACGTCTCGCAACCTTGTTTCACCGTCCACTATCATCTAGAGACGGCTAAGCGGGCCTTTCTCTTTCTAAACAAGACGCAAGGCTCTCTCCGGCTGATACTTCGTATCTCTCCTACCCGGAGTACAAATTAGAACATTCCTTTGTGCCTCGGACTGGAGTTTTCGTATACGTCAGAGAGGACATCTGTTCTCGACGCTTAGGTAGTCCTCGACAGTGAAGGTTCAGACCTGTCCATCCTTTGGCTATGCGTAGACAGCGACGACCATCCGCTCGTCTACGGATGCCTCTATAGGTCCCAAAGCGGTAATGCCTAAAAAGAACGACACATCAACCACGTCTTAATGGCTACAGATTCTTTGCTATAACACATCTCATCCTCAAAGATCGTGATACTATCGAGTTATATTAGTAGTATAGTTGTAGCACGAATGAGTCGGCTCGACCGGGGAAGGACCACGCTCTCACTTCAATCTTAGTCCTCACGGGTGACAACGCATCTGCATTTTGATTCGTAATCGAGGATAAATGTAGATGTCTATGGGCCACAGCAACTACTTACCATCAGGTGGACTGTGTGCTCGTTTGTCAGCCTATCGTATAAAAAAAAACAGTTGGCCAATTAAATGCGATAGAGTTACTAGATTTTACAACATATACTTGTTCGTTTCTGTACGTCCATTACGATAATATTTTGTTATTTTGTGAAGTAATATCATCGCTATCTCCTCTGCCAAGTCGGAAGACTGAAGAATATTATTTCCGTAATACCTATATACTGGTAAAGTTTATTACCGTCTAGAAAAAAATATGATGTAACATGTGAACGGAATAGAAGCCTATGGCACTGATATTATACAAAAATAAAAACAAACATTTTGAATTATACGTTTGAAAATTTTTTTATGAACAATTACTTTGCCCTTGAGCCGGTGACCCTGCGAACTGACAAGGTCAAAGATGCCTACTTGTTTTATTGTTTTATTGCTGTTCGTAAAGTAGGGTGGATATGATTTGAATTTCGATAGATTTGAATTTATTTATTTATTTAATCCAATGTTTTTGTTTTTCTTTTTTTTTTTTTTGTAAAATATCAATGCCATAAGCTTCTACTCCGTTCACATGTTATACTCTATTTTTTTCTAGATGGTAAAAAGTGACATCCAATATATCCTTTAATAAATTTAACGAATTACTAACTGTACTAACAACTCAGTAGCGCAGTGACTAAGCTTTGGCTGCGAAGCTATGGTGTTCCGTATAAGAATCCCACTGGTAACAAATGTTTGTATGGTCTTACAAAGTATTGTTCTGGGCCTGGTTCATTCTAAATATCACGTAACTAATTAATGTAAATAAAATAAATAAATAAATATGAAGTGCCGTAGTTTTTCATATTTACGCTCGGCGAAAATGCAAGTTTGAGATATAAAAACATTTCGAAGACTATAAGTGCTTCACCATCCGTTGGGACAGCGGCAGGTAATCTGTCCCATAACCTTGTTACAAAATAAAAAGAGGCCTATGCCTCTCTAAAACTATCTCCTTCGCCAACTACATGACTCAGCTATTGAGTTGTAGTGACTAAGTTGTATACCCAACCACAAGTGACGATTGAGCACATATTTGATTTTTATAGGCGTGTGTGTCCGTCTCACTCTGATTGATCCTAATTACATCATATTTTAAAGAGATGGTAAAGGTGAACAAATGTCTGACTATGATACGCTGTGATCATAGAATAAAAGTATCGGACTACGGGATGCTGTAGTCAAATATTAGTCAGAAACACATTGTATTAAATGTTAAAACATAATTTTCAGATGACCCCGAGTTCAGCGAGCTGGTGTGGCAAGCGGAAGTGGCCATCGACAATGGCATCTTCCCGGAGAGAATATACCAGGGCTCGAGCGGCTCGTATTTCGTCAAAAACCCCGGCAGTGTGAGTTTATTTTTTATTAAATATACACAAAGGTATCATTAAAGCCAAGTACTAATACACCAACAAAGTGCATGATACAGTTTTGTCGATAATATTTATCTATCTATCTATATATCCTATACCTTTAAACGAGCAAATCTTGTATATATATCGGAATCTCGGAAACGGCTCCAACGATTTTCATAAAATTTTGTGTGCAGGGAGTTTCGGGGGCAATAAATCGATCTAGCTAGGATTTATTTTTAGAAAATGTCTTTTTGTCTGTGTTTTTAGGCAATGAAAAACTGCTACAATATTGTTAGAATAAGAAGGTAAATTTTGACAGTTTATTAATGATTACAAATAGCTTAATTGGTATATTGGGCGGTCACAAAATCGTAATACCATGATCGAGCCCAGACCGACCGACCGACTTTTTTTAATTTTTTTTTTCAAGTTCCTTTCTTTTTTTGAGAAAATTTATTTTTTCGAGCCCTTTTTTTTTTAGTATTTTTTAAAAACACGAAAATTTAAATTAAACTAATTGCACTCATGATTTTTTATTCAAATAACCAGTTCAGTTTATTCTATTATGTCGCTAAGATCAAAAAATATTATTGGTATTTCATCAGTATGTAATTTGTATATAAATATAATTTCCAAAACACACGAATTAAAAAATACCGAGCAAAGCTCGGTCAACCGGGTACTATCTAATAAAATGTCAAGCGAGTCTCGTAAAAACTCGATAATGATTTTGATGAAATTTTTTGTACGTATCCTTGGACGGTTTAGATTCACAATTTAAACCGGTAGGAGGCGCTGTTGTCGAGATCCAGAAAAAAGACGCGAAGCCGTAGCGGATCGCTAGTGTATTTAATATTAGATCAATGGTAGATATTTTTATTCGTTCATCCGGCAGTAGTACAAAATGTGCGATACATTTGGCATCGCGCTCGTTAATCCGCCTGTGTGTTTAAGTAATTCCTCCCTACAACAGAAGAGGTCCATTTTAAAGGCAGATAAAGAAAAAAGTGAATATAGTCAATGTATATATATATATATATATAACAGTAATCTATGTAGTCAATCCTCTTACCCCTTTAAGAATGTTACGAGGTTTATAGATTACTTATAATTGATTTGGTTAAAACCAGTCTTGTCAGCCTCGAGTACAAGCACAGATAGCCAGCCTCTTGGTTGATGTTGGACGTCGGAGTGAACAGGAATTTCATCCTTTAATTCTTTCCCCCCTTTCCAACATCGGACAACCAGTCAGTCGGCGGATCTTCATTGCTTTGCTATCGATATTGCTATTCCCTTGCTATCGCATTTGAACCAAACGGTTCACTTCGTCTTACGTAATGCGTACAACAAAGGAGTGAAATAATTTGTCGGAGTTTTTTTTTTTAATAGAATAGGTTGACAAACGAGCACACATTCCACCTGATGGTAAGTGGATGCTGTGGTCTGTAGACATCTACATTTATCCACGATTAAGAATTAAAATGCAAATGCGTTGTCACCCGTGAGGATTAAGATGAAATGCTTCGTTTCCAGTAAAAAGGGTCACCGGTTCTCTTCACTGACCTTATGAAACACAGCAGCATTGAGCTGCTATTTTATGTTGGTATTCAGTGAGAATGGGTGCGTTGGGCAGAAAAAATCGCTAGCAAGCGCTTGCAAGCGCTAAAATAGTTTTCGGTTAGGACACGATTGCTACTTCAGTAGCGCTGACACAATCCGCCATTTTGCTTATTTAATTTGTTTGTTTTGAAGTAGAAATTATAACTTATTTTGTACAATATTAGTTTTAAGTAATATAATGACATGAATAGACATAATATATACATGTTATTAAAAATTCATGATTGGTAAGTTTTTAATATGAATACTTTACAAACATATATTTAAATTAGGTTAGGTTCCCCGATTAAAACTAACATCGTGTCCTGGAGGAAAATAGCTACTTACGATTTGACAGCGCTTACCGCTTACGATCGCCATTTTGCTTACAAGCGCTTGCTAGCGCTTTTTTCTGCCAAACGCACCCATTGTGTTCATACCCCGGTCGAGCCGACCCATTCGTGCTTCAACTATAATATTGTTGCAGCATGTGGCTCTACCATGTAAAAAGTGTATGTCTTTTCGTCTGTTCTGTATAGTAAGATAGTGCAATTTACCATCTAGCTCTTCATCACCACTTACCACCAGGTGCGATTGTTGTCAAACGCTGACTTATAACAAGTTAAAAAATAACCAGTTTTTTTTTTCAATCTTTACCCAGAGAACGCTTAAGCAGAGAGAGCAGATAATTTCCAACTACTAATTGCTTATTACTTGTTGAGCTCATTGTGTCTAAAAAGTTTTGTTATGTTAGTAATGGTTACATTTTATGAGGTAGAGCTTTGCTCCAGTTGTAATGTGGCTGCAGCACGAATGGGTTGGCCGAGAAAGGTCGCTTTAGCATAAAGTTGTGACTAGGATTAGAGAAAAACCTTAGTCTTGAAGAATGACCTGCACTTCAATTCATCATGACAAATGTGTATGGTCCATTGCTTCCTGAACATCAGGTGGATTTTGTGCCCTTTTTTTTACTTGTGTAGAAAAACAGCTCTTCTCAATTGTTTCTCAAGAATGCAATATCGTTTCTACTTACGTAGATCTGGTATCCTGTAGACTTGAAACGAAAAGAGCTAAGACAAATTCCTTCACCTCGGGGATAAGGAATCTCTGAGTGTGGGTTTCTTATTTGGTGTGAAGGAGACATTAATATTGGTGAAATCCTGTATATTTTATGCTTTATTCTTTTTCCTTTATAATAAGTGAAATTAGAGTTATGGTAACTCAGGAGCTAAATGCTTGCTGTATGTATATATCACAGTACACAAGTACATTATTTTAACATGTTAGAGCCACGCTGCAGCTAGTTTAGTTTAGTTTAGTTTGCAACGGGCTGTTTTCCGCAACTCCACGTCTCTGCGCGTATTTTGCGTGTGGGCAGGAATAATGTGATTATTCGAGCCATGAGATCTCCCCCGAAGAAGCTCAACAGTCCCTTGATGTTGCATGCAACTTCGGGGAGTGATCCCGGCGTGCCGAGATGTTTAGCCCTGTACGTAGCGACCTCCGGACATTTCAGTAGCACGTGGGCCGCCGTTTCTTCCTCCCCCATACATGCCCTGCACAGGGGACTATCTGTAACACCTATAGTAAATAAATGTTTGTTAAAGGTGCCATGTCCTGTGATAGCACTAGTTACTATCCTGATCTGCGGCTTGTTCAGTCTCATTAGAACTTTGGTTAAGCGACTGTTTATTACAGGTAGGGCCTCCCTAGCTTGTCTACAGTCTATTAGATTTTTCCAAAGCTGAGCGTGTTGATTAGTGAAGTGTCTACGTACCATTGAACGAACGTGAACGCTGCAGCTATATTATGGTTGTAATAGGAATGAGTCGACTCGACCAGGGTAGGACCACACTCTCACAGAATACGTGTAAAATATTAGTCTAAAGCTGCTGTGTTTCGTATGGTAAGTGTAGAGAACCTTTTTTACTGGAAACATGGTATTCCATCTTACTCCTCAGGGGTAACAACGCTTATGCATTTTGGATGTTGATAGAGGAAAAATGTACATGTCTATAGGCCACAGCATCCACTTACCATGGTGCACTGTATGCTCGTTTGTTACCGTTAGTATATAAAAAAAACAAGCAACATGTGTTTGATTTGCATGTACCAATGAAACTGTTAATTGCAATTTTAAAGTTGGATTTAGCACGTGCGGTCTGTCGGTGAAGTAAAAAAGAATAGTCTTTGAAAGAAATTAAGATATAATATTACGAAAACATGTAATACCGCCCTACTTTTTTTCGAAGTCGGTTGAAGAGAAGGCCTGCCTAGTTGTAGGACAACGTAAAGTACAGACTGTAACTTTTCTACTTATATAAATTGGCTTCCAAGAGGGACTTAATACCTTAATCTATAAGGCATTTTCTAATAGTCTTACAAACTGTATTATGAATCGATGTTTTTAGTATTTTGTTTTGTTGAAATAATAACTAATAACTAGTTTAGTTTTTGAGATGGACCCTGTAACAAAAATAACCCTTTAAAAAATTGGTAACTTTGATGGCTCGCATTTCCTTAAGTTTGAAGAGTAAAATAATATTTGTTGCTCAGTGAGTTCTAGACAATGGCAACTCATGCTATGGGCGGAATTATTTTTTTCTGGTCCTTATTCATGTTTGGGACACATGTCCATACATACTCCGACACTATGACACTGTCGCTGAAAAATAACAGTAATTTTAATTCAATATTCGGTTTTAAGTGACCATTTTACACCAAATATTCCAATATTATTTCTATAACTCAATTTATATATGGACAGACAGATAGAAAGATAGTAAAGTGGAAATTATAGAGCTTCGTTTTACACTTTGAGTACGGAATCCTAAAAATTTAGTTGTACCTTTTTATTATGATGGCAGCATCGGATGTAATATCACAGATACATGCATGGAATTCAAACTCAGTACCCTCAGCATAGTCTTTGCATATTCGGTACTCTATACCAGGCAATAGAGTCCTTATACAGTACGTCATTTACAGTTTTATGACGTACTGTATAAGGACTGATGTTTATTTCCATGTTGTTTGAGTTGTATTAAAATTAATTCCAGAAAATAATAGGCGTGTTCAAGCCGAAGGATGAAGAGCCGTACGGTAGACTGAATCCGAAGTGGACGAAGTGGATGCACAAGTTGTGCTGCCCGTGTTGTTTCGGGCGGTCGTGCCTCATTCCTAACCAAGGCTACTTATCGGAGGCCGGCGCCAGCCTGGTCGACTCCAAGATCGGCCTAAAAATCGTGCCGAAGACGAAGGTTAGTAGTTATGCCATTTTATTAATGAATTAATGAATGATTTATTCATTTGACAATGCATGATGCAATGAAATGAAACTATAAAGCAAACAAACAACATATATACAGTTCACATGCGGTAGAAGTAAAATCTTGAAATGATTTCAAATCATACCAAGTCCAAAGAAGTTTTTAAAAATAACATGATAGTATATAGTATAAATGTAGTAACATTGGGTTACAGCAACGAAAAGGCAAGACTCAGCATGATGTTGCCGCAGTGGTGACACGGTCACAATGCTGTTTTATATACTTTTATAATCACACTCGATATTCGCTTTTTCTCGTTTTCGCGACCGACAGGGTCATTAATTAGACGGAGAAGCGGCGAACATCTAGTCTAGTGGGTTCATAGTTGAGTTGCTTCGTCGCGGAACGGAATATACATGATTTTACATTATGAGAAGCTATGTTAACTGTGTTGCATTTGTTTTCAATTCGATTGAGCGTTATTATAAAAACCACTGTCTTTGTGTAGCATATCAATACAATATATTTTACGATGTGTAACCGATTTTAGTTACGTATTGATATATCAAACTCTTGCCTACCTCTACCTAGGAATAACAACTTGTGTATATGGTAGAGCCCTGCTGCACCTATATTATGACTGCATCAAGAATGGGTCGGTTTCACTGGGGAAAGACCACACTCACAAAATACAACTGTAAAATAACAGCTAAATGCTGCTGTTTGCCGTATGGTGAGTGTAGAGAACCAGAGACCCTTTTTACTGGTAACAGGCCATTCTGTCTTAGTCCTCAGGGGTGACGATGCATCTGCGTTTTGATCATTAATCCAGTTTAGATGTAGATGTCCATGATGTCCATCCCCTTACCATCAGGTGGACTGTGTGCTTGTTTGTCCACCCTTATTGTTTATAAAAGCAGCAAGTAAACCGGCGGAACAGTTTTCTGTAGAAAGTGGCTGTGGAAAGCTTCAGGGAGCATCATTATAATCCTATTGTTGATACCCAGGTAGTTAAACTTGTGTCGGAGACGTTCAACTACCTGCGGATAGACCGGGAACGGTCACGGCTAAAGCGCGCCATCACCGAGCAGTTTCCAAACCTTCGCTTCAATAGAATGGGACTTCCGCCTAAGGTAAAGATACTTATTTCTACATAATATAAAATAGTCGCTTCCCGCCGTCTGTACGCATAGATCTTTAAGAGTAGTCCACTTGCAAAATGCGTTATATTGATTGACTAATTAATTAAGAAAAATAATTAAAACATATCTGTCAAAGTAAATTAAGAAAATATTGTTACTTTAGTATACGCTTAAGTGGTAATATTTAGAATTATTCTATTATAATGAATAAAATCTCGGTATAACATTAATCTTTTAATTTGAATATTAAAATTGAACATAGCAAGTTCTGCAAAAGTATTCGTAACATAAACATTTTTTCAGTTGTATGGAATTAACATAGACAGTTTTAAATCAGTTTTTCACTTGTGTCTTAAAACTAAGTTATTAATAATATTAATAACTTAGTTTTCTTACACTCTTATATCTATTTGATCTTCCATTAGAGTTTCTTCAGAGTCAGTTTCTATTAAATTACTACTATTTTCTTCTTCTTGTAAAAACTTGTAATATTGAAGATTTTCACTAGTAATCCAGTCTTCTCCGAAATGTTTAATCAATAGTTTTCTCACGTCATTTAATTTTTCTGTTTTTACAGGAACTCTAATATTCATCAACGTCGGTTTAATATTTTCATAAGACTTTTCTCTTTTACAAACATTCCCATAGTTGACCACTTCAGATACATAATTAGGTTCCCCTTTGATTCCAATTTTATTATTCTTATCCTTTCTCAGGAAAAATCTTTTAGAAGCATTAAATTTGAAATGCCAAGATCCTGGTAATTTCAGCACATTTGTAACGCTTTTTTTTCCAGTCATAAAACTGGAAGTCACTTCCAAGTCTACGAGGGTGGATTGAAAAGTACTCGGCCTAACACAGATCCATTCAATTCTAAAAATCAAATCTACCCACATTATTTAGTTCAGTTCAGACTAGTTCATTGTGTGAAGTTCGAAACGTGTGCGATAATTAGTTGTGATTTTATAAATTTATTAACAAAGTAATCGGACATAATTTCCGCGAATGGAGCAAATCGAGCAGCGTGCCGTCATTAAGTACCTCCATAAGAAGGGGCTATCATCAAAAGCCATCCATGATGACATGGTCAGTACATTAGGCGATTGTGCTCTGTCATATTCATCCGTCAAAAAATGGATAGCAGAATTTAAGCGTGGTAGAGAGAGTGTGAAAGATGAACCCCGCTCTGGAAGGCCTTCGACGTCAACTACTGACGAAAATATTAAAAAAAGTACTTGATTTAATAATGGGAGACCGCAGATTAAAAATTAGAGAGATAGCCGAGATTATAGGCATCTTTTATGAACGAACTCAAAACATCATTGTCAACGAGTTGGGTTTCCACAAGGTGTCTGCGAGGTGGGTTTCGCGACTGCTTTCAGTTGAACAAAAAAGGACGCGATTGACTATTTCACGCGACTGTTTGGAGTTATTTGAAGCCGATGCAGATGATTTTTTGAATCGTTTTGTTACTATGGACGAAACATGGGTTCATTACTGTACACCGGAAACAAAACAACAATCAAAACAGTGGAGAAGACCTGGTTCACCACCCCCTAAAAAGGCTAAGTCGATTTTGTCGGCAAATAAGGTGATGGCTTCAGTATTCTGGGACTCGAAAGGTGTGATTATGATTGATTATCTTGAAAGGGATCAGACTATAAACTCTGATTACTACTGCACCTTACTACGTCGTTTACGAGAGGAAATAAAAGAAAAACGTCGCGGAATGCTCAGAAGAAAAGTCCTGTTTCATCAAGATAACGCCCGTGTTCACACGTCAGTACAGTCAATGGCTGAAATTCACAACTGTGGCTTTGAACTGTTACCGCATCCGCCGTATTCACCTGATCTGGCACCATCAGACTTCTTTCTGTTCCCTAACCTAAAAAAGCACTTGGGAGGTCAAAGATTTTCGACAAACGACGAGGTCAAAGCAGCTGTAGACGCATATTTTGACTCTAAGAAAGAATCATTTTTTTTCAACGGTCTAAATGCTTGGAAGGGGAGGTGGCAAAAGTGTATTGAACTTGATGGTGATTATGTAGAAAAATAAAAATATAACTGATTTAATATGTGTTTATTTTCTTGGTTAGGCCGAGTACTTTTCAATCCACCCTCGTAATAACTTTACCATATCTTTTGAAAATATCAAAATAAACCATGGGTTCTGCAATCACCTCTAAAGGGCGTATCTCTCTTTCGATATTTCCAAATATACGGTCGGGTGGCAAAAAGGAATACCCAACTACCGGAAATATAATAGTTATTTTTTAATTTGATTTGGAGCTTTTGTTTTAAACCAATATGCCAACATTCCCCAAACTATGGAATTTTTATTTTGGCCGTGGGGTGTAAAGTGGTATTTAACAGCCTGTGAAATAATGCTGATGCAATCTGATTGGATACTTCTAAAGCCTCGGTTTCGAGCCACGTGTATATAAACGTATTTTAATCATTTTGAGGGCTACAAGATGGCCCTTGGCAGATTGTTAGATTGTATGTATACAGTTGTCGGCTAAAGTAGGCACTTTGATCCGACACTTTTGGTAGAACCTGATTCTTTTGACAATGGAAGGATAATTTCTTGTAATTAATAATTTCATTGTCATTTTGCGTCTTGAGGCTAGTATAAAAAGTTTTGGCCTTTAACCTGTGAATCCTAAGCTGCGCTATCAACATCTGTTTTTTAGCTAGATCATTTTCACTTTTGATATTCTCTTTTAATTGAATGCACTTAGAGCAAGCGTCAGTAGCCGGTGTCTTAAAACTTAAATTAAAAAAATTTGTAAATATTCTCTTAAAAAATTCGTATTTCACCGGCACATTTTGCGCTTCATTGTTATAAAGTTTGTGTAATTTTTTATATTAAGGTCACTGCTCAGGTATTGTACAGTACTTCCTCTCGTATAGTGTGATTCTATGGATTTAAGATACTTTATAAATTACTTAACAGATTCTGTACGACATGAATACTGTGAAGATCTATCACCACCTCTTCTTTCTTTCGGCAGTTCCATAGTAGTTAAATGTCTTTTGCAAATTCTTTGTATTCTGTCTTTAGATATTCCTAAAAGTGTGGTCTTGCTTTTTGGCATACTTTTTTTAATTTGATGGAGCGTTTACCGCCAACAGTTGATTCGTACTTTGGAATAAAATAACATATTGTTTGAGCTTTTTCTTGCCTTCTTTTTTTTGGAATTTGAGCTGTGCAATACTTTAATAAAAATGTATCTTGAGTAATTTTGTTTGAAGATGCATAAAAATGTCTGCAAAACTTATGTAACTTATGTAGTCTTGAGTCGTAAACTCGTTACATTTATAACCCTGTTTTAAATTTCTATGTACGCATTGTGGTATTTTTGGAGGTTCTTTAGCCACATATCTGCAACAAAACAGTAAAAAATAAACTACTTGTTCAATAAAATGAGACAAATTTAAGAGTTCGCCAACAATACATTTATTTCGAACTATATATCCATAGCGTGTTAGTAGTACATAGAGACTTACCCTAGTGTTAGTTATTTACAGAAATTTAAATCTAAGTACACCTTGAATAAAATAAATAAATAAATTTTCTAAGATAAATTTATTCATTTATTAAAAGATAACCGAAATATAAAACTGTAACTTACCGTTTTGATTTTTCAACTTCTCTCTTCCAAGTAGATTTATCGGATATTTTCTTACGTCCTCTTCTATTAAGTGTTAGAATAACTTCTTTTTCTTGAAATTCCATTTTAGAACACAAAATTGATAAAGAACTTTTATTTCGTAGATCGTAGATACGTACGTGCACGTTAACAGCATCAATCAAAATTAACAGCTGGTAGAGAAGATGGCGGCATCTGCACGAGTACGTTGGCGTCTTAGCGCCATTTGCAAGTGAATAGTAACTTAGACATTTTTGAAAGTAAACTGTCAAATATCATAGCAACTTTTGTAAGGGTATACCATATTTAGCCTCAAATTATTCGTAATGTAGCGAGTTTTGAAATAGTATGATAAATGTAGAGTAACAGTTTTTAAATTTCAAATACAATGGCTGCCATTGCAAAAAAAAACACCATTTTTTAACTTAGAGTGGTTTGCAAGTGGACTACTCTTTTAACCTACGCAACGGATGGCGGTTTTCATCAACAAGAATGCTTCAAGAAGAAGGTTATTTATTTATAGATTTTTTGGTAGATCCACACTGCAACTATATTATGCTTGCAGCACGAATGGATAGGCTTAACCGCGGTAGGGCCACGCTCTCGCAGAATATCAACTTCGAAATAGCAGTTTAATGCTGCCGTTTGTCGTATGGTGACTCGAGATAACCAGAGACTCTTTTTACTGGAAACGAGGCATTCCATCTCAGTCCTCAGGGGTGACAACGCATCTGCATTTTGACCCTTAATTGAAAATAAATGTAGACGTCTACAGGCCACAGCATCCACTTACCATCAGGTGGACTGTGTGCTCGTTTGTCACCGTTAGTATTTTTTTTTTTTATATATATTATATATATATATATATATATATATATATAATTTTGTATGTGATTTGAAGTTAATTCGAGTATGGTTTAGATTCACAATTGGGCCCGGTAGGTGGCGCTGTTGTACGAAACCGGGGCGGATCGCTAGTTTACCTCTTCTAAACTGAGTAATAGCGTCACGATAAATGGAACATCTCTGATCTCATCACACATTTGGGAGCGGAAGCACGAAGCATGAGAGAGCAATCTATCATATCAAATATTGCTTGTAATAATGTGTTCTGATCAGAAGGCTATAGAGAACCAGTATTATTCAAATAATGAAAGACGCATTCCATCTTAGTCCTCGGAGGTGGCAACATATCTGTTCATCACTAGCTTACGAAGCTGCCACTTGAGAATATTTCTTTCCCTTCAGTGGTCGGTTCTTCGAACTGGCCCACTCAATTACGTTCGGGGCTCGGCGACGTCGGGTTCTTTTAAAGAATTGATGAAATATTATTTACCAAAACACATTTTATACTGACTTCAAGAAGCAGGATGTATTCAATACATATGTTTTTTAATGTGTGTTACCTCAGTACTTTTCTCTAGGCCAACAGGTTTTGATGATTCTTTCTTCATCTGAAAGCTGCTACTTCTCGTGTGGTCCCATATAAATGTGATCAAGATGTGACCGATAGTTTTTGAGCTATCCTTAATAATGTTCTAAATGGTTCACGATTGGACCCAGTAGATTGCGATGTCGAGATCCTTGAAATTACCCGTGCGAGGCCAGATCGGATCGCTGGTACTTGATATATTTCATTTCTTTGTTCTTTTGTTTCTTCTATATCGTGGGGGCAGTTTACATACATAAATTTGACAATGACAAACATTCAAACCCGGAAAAATTATTTGTAAGCCATACAGATAATATGTAAAAATACTTAACTATAACAAATATATATACAAATTTCTGACCTTAGATGGTAGTTAATAATATTGCAAAAAAAATTATACGCATAAAACAGTTTGAAATATAAATTGACACTTCTCAACTGGATGGAGAGAAGCCAATGGAATGAGACAAAATTTGGGTCTTAGTTCTTCATTGAGAGAAAATTACATAATTATTATTGGATATGAAGGTAGTATATGCTTATAATAAATACTTGTATAGTAAATACTTGTTCTGTGCGAGATTCGAATCCGTGGCCCTTAGCGCTACAACTCATTGCTAAGCCGCTGCGCCACGGATCCATAATTTTGTTATGTGTATGTGTTTTGTGCACTTGTATGTGTATATGATGTATATAATTATTATTAACAAGGTTTATGTGAAAGTGATCACTATTAAGCAATAAGGCCACCTGAATGTATATTAAATACTTACATTATGGTTCAATATAATTGTTTTCATATGTACTTCAGTGTATGTAAAACATTCCAATATAATTGTATCTGTCCACAGGTGGGCTCATTCCAGTTATTCGTGGAAGGCTACAAGGATGCGGACTACTGGTTACGGAGGTTCGAACAGGACCCCCCACCTCCGCACGTTATGAGAAAGTGAGTTCCTTTATTTGTGTTTGATTAATATTTTCGGGAATTAAATGTAATTTTACGTGGTAGAGCCATGCTACAGTTATATTAGTAGTATACCTGTAATATGAATGGGTCGGCTCGACCGGGGAAGGACCACGCTCTCACAGAATACCAGCGTCAAATAGTAGCTTAATGCTGCTGTGTTTTGTATGGTGAGTGTAGAGAACCGGAGACCCTTTTTACTGGAAACGAGGCATTCCACCTAAGTCCTCACGGATGACAACGCATCTGCATTTTGATTCGTAATCGAGGATAGATGTAGATGTCTATGGGCCACAGCAACCACTTACCATCAGGTAGACTGTGTGCTCGTTTGTCATCCTATTCTATAAAAAAAATATTAAAAAAATCAAAATATACAATGACGACAATAAATATAAAATATTAATAAATATGACTGATAAGAGATGCAGGGAGTTGATGATTGTAAGTGGCTCTGGAGCGTTCCTTACGGCATTCCATGTCTATGTTCATCAGTGGACTTGTGGATGGCTTTACTGTTAATAATAATAATGAAATATACCTATTATAGAAATTGAATTAAAAGACAAACACTATTAACAATTAAATAATCCACAGTATATTTCCCAAAAAGATAACACAGCAAAAGTCAACTGTTTTACTTTTGTATAAAAGACAAAATCCAATATTTTAACTTTTTTATGTTCTTTTATTTTTATCAAGTTTTTATCAAGTTAGGCGTAAATGATTTTTTAAAAACTATTTAAAATCTATTTTATTTCTTAATACAATTATAACTACTTTTATACGTCCTTGACAGAAGTCGATGTCAGAGCGAAGTGGTCGCTCCCATGTAGCTCTGCCTGATCTCATGCAACCAAAAGCGTGACTCTACAGTTACTGGATACTGTCTAATGCTTATGCAGCCCCTTCTAAATACGAACCGTAACAACCCTATGGTCTTGTGGTTGCATAACTAGTTTTTATCAAGTAGTAAATGTCGCAGCGCCTCTGTGGGTAGTCGTATTATAATTAAACAATTAAACAACACGTGCACCGAACACCTGCTAATTGCACCTGCAGTGGCGCTCGTGTAGCTACTTGTCTCGATTGTATGAAATGGGCGGAGCGACCGCCGTTAAATCAGTCTTGGCGCTGGCGTGGCACGGTGCACTTGTTGTATCCCGCTACTAGCTCATCCTAGACTATTCGGATAATTAATTCGTGGAAACGAATTAATTATTATTATCAGCTATTAAATTAGTATCACTACAATTTATAGTTGATTACCTGTGATCCGTGTATTTTGTAATTGCTAATTAATTCTGTTTAACTACCTTCCTACATATATTAAAAGTCAAGACAGATCAATACATCTTCTCTTTGACACCTTCCAACATTATAGTAGATCTTGCAGGAATATTATAATAACCTAAGCCCAGCTGTGGGTGAGGACTTTGACTAAAATTGCCTTCGTTCAGATTCCAGTTGCAATTCGAGCGGCTGGTGGTCCTGGACTACATCATCCGCAACACGGACCGCGGCAACGACAACTGGCTCATAAAGTACGATACACCCAGCAAGGACGTACTCAACATGACAGAACCCACCGTCAGTATAATTTTGCTTTTTATTCTATAACTACTATCTGATTTCAATACGTGGGTATCTTAAGAGGGAAATGAAACAGGATATGGGCTGCCGCATCTATCTGATAACTCAAAATAATAAAAAACTGCAGTCACCTGCCAACATACCATGCGGGCTGCTTATATCTAGTATAATAAGTAGAACTTTGTTAGGCTGTAACAATCATGATGTTAAGAGGATACCTTGAAAATGAAACGAAGTTTTGGGGGCGTGGCTTATTCCTTTGTCGGTGAAGCTCACGGACAACTGCGGAACTGTAAAAATGAAAGTGATGCAATGACTTCATAAAACGTAAATTATGAGATAGCTATACCGAGCACACGCTCGGAAATAAAATTAAGTAAGCGCCAAACAACATTTTTATTTATTTTAACAAAACTACGTTATGGATTAAAAAACTGGTTTATGAGAACTTAGATATGATTATTTACTATGGCTTAAAATAATTCCATAAAATTATTCGTAAGAATATTGTGGTGTCATCGAGAAATGTAAATAATTAGAGTCTACTTTGCAATTTTTTCTATCGAGAAAATTACATGTTAACGTGTTTTCCTTTTATGCAATCCAAGGTCATATAGCCAAAAATCTTATATAAAACTTAAAAAAAATATGTTAAATAGAAATGCCACCAAATTTTCGAGGTATTAACTTTATGATGATGAGTTTTAGTTGTCTTGATGAGGTCTGTAATTCGTGTTTATTTTTTTGTTATGTTATGCGATTGCGATATCTTTGCCAGTTGTAAACTGATTTTGATAATTTTCTTTTATTTAATAGGTTATACTACTGGGGTTATATTTGTGTAGAAAATTCTACTTACTAGGGTGGCAAAATAGGAATGAAGTTTTTAATCTAATCATTAGACTTGCAACGAATAGTATATTTGGCCACACGCTAAATACCGAATATTGTGCGGACTTCCTGGCCGAATAGCCGAACATTAGGCAAAAGTATTCGGCCAGGAAGGAAGTAGTGTTTAACCTTCAGAGCGTCTATTTTCTGAAGCTGGGATGGTCTACGAGAAAAAAAAAGGACTAAACTTCTACCTGAAAATGATGAAAAACTAGTCTTTCTGCACCATTATCTTCCACTTTATTTACGATTATTCGAGCGAATAGACATTTATTTGATAGTCCTTTTTATAATACGGTAGTTGATTATGATTACTATAATAATTAAAAGAAAAAAAATTGTAAAATAAATAAATATTTTCATTTTGCCAATTATCTGATTGCAATAACTTACTTAAGTATTCGGTATTCGGCTGAAAACTACCTAAAGAAAGTAGCCGAATAGGCCGAAATTTTCATGTGGTAGACCCATGCTGCAGCTATATAGTTGTAACACGAATGAGGTCGGCTCGACCGGGGAAGAACCACGCCCTCACAGAATACCAGCGTGAAAAAGTATGTGTCTCGTATGGTGAATGTAGAGAAGCGGAGACCCTTTTTACTAGAAACGCGGCATTCCATCGCATCTGCATTTTGATTCATAATCGAGGATAGACGTAGATGTTTATGGGCTACTTACCATCAGGTTGACTGTCTGCTCTTTTCCCACCCTTATTCTATTGAAAAAAAAACCGAATATTCGTTGCAAGTATACAAATTATTTAGAAGACTACGAGAGATTGTAATTAGTAAGATTTCTTGGGCCTCTTGGGCCTAGAAACTAAAAATAATTAAGAAAAAGGACATTAGAAGACTTCATAAAAGGAAATTATTTTATTCTTTTTGGTTCTTTGAATTTGTCTTTAACTTTTTTGCTAAAGTATTTTATTTATAAATTATCATTAAAAGTTATTTACATGAGATCCCTTGTCTTAAATTTATTAAATAAAATAGCTTATTGTAATTTTACGCGCCGTTTTACCATAGTTAGCAGCGTTAAAAGTGCGCGATATCTGTCACTGAAATCGCATATCTGCTTGTCAAGCGTGGCGATTAGCTACGTAGTTTCCAATTATTTTACGAAAGATTCTGCTTCCCATCTCCTGGTTTGTTGCCTTCTCTGGCCTTTTACGGCACCGACAAGACGATATGAGGTATGGGTTTAAACACTTTATTCCTCAATCAGCCTGTAAACATCCACTGCTGGGCGTTGGGATTTTAAATTGTTAAGATTTGCGATAACCATCACACTTGAGAAGAAATTGCAGCAACACGTTTCACCTCTTTACTTTAAGAAAAGCCATTGTTAATGAAGTTAACTGCTTAGAGACCTATTAGAAGAAACATCGTAGTACAAAAGTAAAGTTACAGCCTATATACGCCCCACTGCTGGGCACAGGCCTCATCTCATTTCTAAGAGGGTAGTGGCCAAATATTCAAACGCTACTCAATTTTAAGATGTCATTAAGACTCTTGATGTTACAGTCACTTTGGCTTAAAGTGACAGAGACGCACGTTTGAGTATTTGTGCATAATAGTAGTACAAAGTATAAACTTTTTTTTTTAAATTGAGCAATGGTTACTTGCAGGAGTGGTCTGCAAACGTGGATATACGAATCGCGGCCATAGACAACGGGCTGGCCTTCCCCTTCAAGCACCCGGACTCTTGGCGAGCTTACCCTTACCACTGGGCCTGGTTGCCGCAAGCCAAACACCCTTTCAGCCACGAGACCAAGTTAGATGCTCTTCACTTAATAATAATAAGCTAACTGTATAGGAAACTTTATCTCGCAGACTCACCTTTCTACATCTTTAGCTGTTTACACTAATGTTGCACCTCACAGTCGGTTTAGATTGTAGTGTGAAGTGCCCATATAGTAAGTAGTAAGGCACCACCAACCCACTTGTTGTTTACTTGGAGCCCATCTTCGAATATATTTTTATTATGTATAAAGAGAAAGGGTCTACAGCGTACACCACATAACAAATTATAGTAAAATTCCCCATGTGAATCTATTAAATGGCTGGGCCCGAACAGATCATAAGGTGGAGATACAAAATAATAATAATGTTACGAGCTTAGGGTTCGTGACAATAAAAACTGCCGATTGAATTACCAAAATTGACAATGTAATTACTGAACACCAATTAAAACTTAAATCACACTAATAATTAATCATACTTAACACTTTAATTCACTTTATTTCACTCCGAAAGCTTCGCTCGTATCGCCAATTCAATACTGCCCCGGTCGCAGCCCATAATAGCTTTATGTAGGCCTTTCCCACCGAAACATCCAGAATATTCCAGCAAATACCGGCCCCCGTCTGAAGTGGTCAGGGCCGGTATTTGAATAAAGTGCCAGGCGCTAATTATAGCGCGCAACAATAATAATTTTAAAATAATTTTTAAGTTCCAAATATAAGTTAACATAACAAAGAATCGGAGACCCTTTTTATTCAGGGTTTCCGTAAAGGGTGGCCCGTTCTTTTTCTAAAAAGAATTTTATTGGTAACGACACGTTTCATCTTAGTCCTCGGGACGGCAACTTATCTGCATTTTGATTCTTAATCAAAGATAATTATTGAAGTGAAAACTTCTTTAGCGGCGTTGGACACTTTTTCTGTAATGGGTAAAAATTGTTAAACTCTCGTCAGGAGACGTGACCATGATCGAAAATGCGTAAGATACGGCTTGAGAGGGGAAGTATCCCCCTCTCTTTCTACTGCGCGGCGGCCTGCTGTTTCGTTTAGGCGGCGCAGGGCGCTTGCGCGAATGTAATATAAATTATCATGTTTGTGTACGATAGCGCAATGAATAAATATTGTATTCTACCATATAAATGATAGTACTTTTATACTGATAATTAAAGCAATTCGTGCAAAATCGTTCCCTAACCATTCCAAAATATCAAAAATGCACAACGTTAATATTCAAGTTTTCACTTCTGCCGGCACTCCCGATGCAACCCGTCGTTTTTTATTGTAGGTGTGTCTATGACTCATAAACAACTACAGCATCTATCTACCATCTCGTGAACTATCTCGGTTGTAACTCTTCTATAAAATAAAGTAAACTAGCTTGGGAGCAGAAATTAGTAAAAGGATGGTACAAACCTACATAGTGTCCAAGTTAGAAAACAAGCCCTTATTACCTGATGTACTCTAATTCCTTGCATGATTTCGATCTTGACTATTTATAGAATATTATGATGTGTTTTTTTATATATATATATAGTTATGTTCTTTTTCTTCATCTGCCCGTAAACGTCTACTGCTGGACATAGCTCTGTGTTCGGTGCTTGACCTAGATAAGATGATCACAAAATATTTTTAACATATTCTATAGTCGCTTTTGGGTGACCCAACCCATGGAATGTAATGGGATTATAGATTCTACTATGCAGCCACCACACGTCAAAAAAAAGTATGTTAAATAAGGTATTATAAATTATATTATACTTAAGGCCCTCTTGTAGTATGATGAGTATCTATTTTCTTTTTATAGGATGGGATGACAAACGAGCACACAGTCCACCTGATGGTAAGTGGTTGCTGTGGCCCATAGACATCTCCACCTATCCTCGATTACGAATCAAAATGCAGATGCGTTGTCATCCGCGAGGACTTAGGTGGAATGCCTCGTTTCCAGTGAAAAGGGTCTCCGGTTCTCTACACTCACCATATGAAACACAGCAGCATTAAGCTACTATTTGACGCTGGTGTTCTGTGAGAGCGTGGTCCTTCCCCGGTCGAGCCGACCCATTCGTGCTACAACTACACTACTAATATAACTGCAGCATGGCTCTACCACGTAAAAAATGTATGAAAGTGTTATCTCGCTTCCCATAACTGTCGAGTATATTAGTGCTGAAGCATGGAGAATTTTAGAATAAAGCCGTGAACTGTTTGACTTTCCTTGATATTTTAATAACATATAAAAGAAAACAAATTTGTTAAATGTAATCAAAAACAATTTCTATGAGTTAAGTATAAAATTGGAATCACTGCCAGGTACAAATTTAAATAGCAACTAAGTTATCTTCATGTTTTTTTTTATCAAGACAGTTATTATGATTCGTGTTTCTGTTTTCATACAACCTTTTCGTTATCTTCAATTTTAGTATCTCCTGAGTTCAGATTTTTTTCAACCACTACCTTAATAAAACTATCGTGTTATCTTGTTCCAGGGAGTTGGTCCTTCCACTGCTGTCAGACATGAATTTTGTGCAAGAACTCTGTGATGAATTACATGTTCTGTTCAAGGTGACTTTTTTTTAAATTATTTATGATATTGAAGCGACTGAAGTGTAATGATAATGCATAATAATGCTATGTCTAATTTGATACTTGTTATGCAGAAATGTTTCAACCCACAAAAACATTAAGTTGTTAAGAAAGATAAAAGCATGAAACCCTAATTGATCGTGTAACGTACATCATTTTAAAGAAAACTAAATGTAGATTTTTGGATTTAATTGTTATTTTTCGGAAGTCTTTCGTATTTGGAAATGAATGAAAAAATAAATGAAATTTATATATAATTCGACAGCAAGACAAAGGGTTCGACAAGGGTCTGTTCGAGCGGCAGATGTCGGTGATGCGAGGCCAGGTGCTGAACCTCACGCAAGCGCTCAAGGACAACAAGAGCCCCGTGCAGCTCGTGCAGATGCCTGCCGTCATCGTTGAGAGGTCACTAATCCATTCACACACTCATTCAGTCATTCATGCAATCACTCGTGCATGTATTCTTTCAGTTATAAAATCGTTCATTAATTAAAGTTCACCAATCAAAACTTAAATCACACTAATAATTAATCACACTTAACACTTTATTTCGCTTCGAAAGCTTCGCTCTTATCGCCATTTCAATACGGCCCTAACGGCTTTATATAGGCTTTTTCCACCGAAACATCTAGAATGTTCCACCAAATACCGGCCCCGACCGACTAGATGTGGAAAATTCGAGTGTGTAGTTTTCTAGAAAGCTTAGTTCTTCTATTTGTTACTAGATAGCGCTAGTGGGAGAGTTCTAGAAAGATCTTGAAGCTCCTATTTCTGCTCCTTGATACTAGATAGCGCTAATAATTACCCGCTATATACCGCGCATAAATTATGGCGCGCAACAGTATGTTACTGGCAATTATAATCGCCAAGTTTTGGCAGGCATTTTGGCAATTGCCGTACCAAATATATCTTTCAATACTTTGCGTCTGGTTAAATAAAAGTAAGAAATGGTTATACTTTTATGAATAAATAGGCACAAGATCTTCCAGACTTTTCCTTAAATGGTTATACTTTTATGAATAAATAGGCACAAGATCTTCCAGACTTTTCCTTAAATGGCGTCTTACAACACACAACGATTCGCTGACTAAATATCGATCCGTAGATTTTCTTATTTATATATTAGACAACATCATTAATAAATTATGATTTATGATATATTATAGTTTGCATTTGTTATTTTTAGTAGTCTACCAAAATTGGTAGAATTTTCGAATTTCTTAAATTACATTTTCATCGGAATTCACTTTTATTTGTTCTTCCAAATTTTTACCCCAACCAGTTCAACATATATACTTTAATTATTAATTAATTTTTAATAACCACGAGCTTTATCAAAAAAAAAAAACTTATTATATGTTACCGTTACCGTGACAGCCTATTAAAGTCCAGCATAACATATTGCATTTAAATCAAATTAAACTTCCTCCTTTTAAATAATATAATTGCGTAATTTATAAATTTTGGAACATGTCCAGGCAAGAATTACCAACACTAATTTCATTATTGAGTAGACGTAATTTAATATCTTGGATAAACTCGTCACTTTTAATGTATATTTGCAATCGTTTTTAAAATTTCTTTGCAACCACTGATGTGTTAGCGAAGAACTGGGCTGTTATTTTGCAAGCTGGTTGGGCGACGGGCCTAGGGGTTCCCGAATTCGATTCCCAGGTCGAGCCTTGACCCTACTGTGCGAGATGTTATACTAGGTGGACTGTATACGCGGTTTGTTTCTCATACCTCAACAACATGGCGGACGTGGCACGCGACAACCTTGGACAATGCACTCGCTCTTCCAAATCTATTGCTTGCCAAGGTTAGGATGGAATTCTACTTGAGACAATAAGGACAAACAAAATGGGGCGGGTGAGTTAATGAACAAAAGGCTCAAGTAGCAAATAATTGGAGACACACTTACCGGGGTGTGATTCTGATGCTGCGGACGACGCTTCCGTTGCGGTGGTGTGTTGAAAATAGCGCTGCTGGCGCGACGTGAGGAGGTTTCTTCTGGGGCGCCCCAGAGATGCGATCCAGGCTAACGGTGCGCGACGATATCTCACACTATGTGAAGCGGGTACTTCTGGGGCGTGACTGTCCCTTGTGGTGCCGTTTAGGCTAGCGGCGCGAGGCAAGAGAGGTGCTCGAGGGCCGCGCGCGAACCTATATTGGCTCGGCTTTCCCATGAATTCATCTCGGTGGGGCGTGCGTTTCATTGGTCAAAAGAATCTCGTCACCTTTTAGACCCCTACCCCCCTTTCCGTTTCAGTGTGTACGGTAGGGACATGAGGTTAAAGGAAGGACAAACACTTGGCAAATATACCTTCGAACAAAATTAAAATACACAAATTATTTCTGCGTAACCACAAGCATTTCAAAAACGTTACGATTGGTAGTTTGTCTTTAACTTCATTTTAAATTATTTTATGCCAAGATTCCAGTGATTGTCGTAATCCTGTGAGGTACTCTTTTTATTTCAGCGTTGACCTTTCAAAAAAGATGTATGTGTATATATTTCTAGGTAATGTCTACTAAGTATCTTGAGCCTGTTTTTATTATGTTTCTAAATGACTGTACACAGTCGAGGGAGAAAATCTGAAGAAAATTATATATACCAATTCCGATTATCACCCCGTTTAGGGTGGATAGATGAAAATGCGTTTCCGAGTATCCAACCCAGGGTGGATTCTTTAGGGATGATAAACGGAATAATCCTTTAAAAATGTACAAATACAGATCTTTTTCTGATTACATTAAATTGCTACTGATATTCACATATTTCAATTAACTTTAGTATTCTATTTTTATTTGTCTACTACCCTGAAGACTTTTCTTATTAAGAATAAAATTGTATGTTACTGCCACATCGTAACTGCCTCTCATAATAACTTGAACTTCACAATGTCAATATTTGTAAAACATACATGTGATCCTTGGGCTTAAACTCGAGATTGTCTCTGATCTGAACCTTAAAATGTCGTCCACCTCCTCAAATCGTTTACCACTACGGCATACGCACGCACGATTAAATATATTATGTAATGTTATATAATATATAATTATGATATAATATGGCGTATAAAAAACTTTATAAAACATTATACTGTTTTTACATTTTAAGACGACCTTAAATTAAATATTTTATTTTAGGTTGCCATATAGTTTGTTATACAATACAATGCAGTCTGTAAAGATGCTTAACGTCTCTTCGTTTATAATAAAAAGAAATGTTTAAGAAAACAAACCGTTTTTGAATATAGGATTTGGTTATAACTAAACATTTTAGCAAAACTGATACCATTTATTTCTTTACTTTCCAGGTCCAAAAATGGCACGACGTCGTCGCGTTTTTTCGATTCGTTCCAACAACGCTTCCAACACAAGTCGCCGTTCTTCTCGTGGTGGTGAACTGTATCTGACTTGTGGTAAGATTTGATTTCGAAAGCGTTATTAACGAGCAGCTTCTCGGCTTTCATTTTGACTGTAAAATTTGGAAATCGATTTGTTTCTGTACCGGAATAAGATTCCTTCAATTCTTCATTAGCACATTAAAATCCACTGCTGGGCACAGGCAACACAAAAATTCGAACCCGGGACCATTCGAACAGCAATCGCGCTTACTACCACTAGACCAACGGTCAGCAACAGGCGGACCGCGGTCCGTTTGCGGACCGCGAAAGGTTGAACCTCGGACCGCCAAATATAGTAATGTATTGTATGTCAAGTAAAAATAAATACGTAATATTTTTAACCTGTTAGCTCGCGAGGCTCGCGAGGCCACGCGTAATATGACACTCCCGTTCGCTCGCGACCTTTTTGGCGGGAAAATTTGCAAATTAGCAAATTTTTTGCTATATTGCAAATTTTGCTATATTTTCACTTTGAGACAATATTTATGGATAAAACTTACAGGAATTCTTGTTGAATGTATAAACTATTGAATAAAATTATTTTGGTTGTTAGAAATTATAATAAAATTCATAAATTACCCTTTATAGCATAAGTAGTAGTATATACTTCACTTTTAGTGCCAAAATTACTACTAATTTGAATTCTACACTTTTGTTTTTGGAGAAATTTATATGAAAATGTTTGGAAACATGTATATTTTTATGTTTTATGTGTTTCCATTCGTTACTCATACCAAAATATTAAAATATTATAAAAATTAAAAAAAAAAAATAATATTTTATCTGTATGACATTTCGAACAATATTTCTAAAATATGTTTGTGTGAATTTGAAATAAATACAACGTCATGTTATTTGAAATATATACGAAAACTATTTTTACTTACATTTTACACTAAAAATAAATGAGAATTTGAAAAATAACACATTTATAACTCACCTGCCAAAACGGGCTTTCCGGAATTTGAAGTACTTTTGGCAATTTACTTTTCACTTTTTATACCACAAATTACATATCTACGTGTTTACTATATTACAAGGAATATAAAAAAGTATAATACTTTCGTTTTTAGTCCAGACACAAATATAAAATTCTATAAAAAAGATGGAGCCCCTTCAACAAAGTGACACGTGGAACGCCGGAAGTTCAGAGTGATTTCTTTTTTTTTTTTTCTAAGAAACATTGCCAGGTTATGGTTTAAAATAAAAGAGCATATCTTTGTCTTTGATACTATTATCTATTGCATAGTGTCTTTGGTTTTGTTTTAATTAAAAAAATTATTTTTCAAAGGGTAGTACTTGTGGTACACATGTGTATCTTGATCGAGCGAGCGTACGATGTTTATGTTTGGTACACATGTGTATGCTAATCGAGTCTACAGGTTAAAAATATTTTAAAAATGCCAACAACTGATATGATTTTATAGCTGCAAATGCATCGACATAAACATCGCGCCGATGTCGTCACGTGCGCCATGTTCATACGTATGGCTCCCTTTTTAGGGTTACCATTGCAAGCTTGCGACTGATCGCGGCCTAGCGAGTCGCCAGGTATTGTTAACACGCGAGCGAGAGCGAGACGGCATGTACTAGCAACAGCGCGCGCGAGTATCGAAATCGGGGGTGTGGGCGTGCGGGCGGGAGGAAAGCAGACTGCTAGTCGGTCAGTCGCAGCGCAAATCGCGGAGCAACAGTTCATTTGTTTTGTGATTTGTCGAGTTTTCGTTCGTTTAATTAAATTATATTTTTGTACCTAAGCGTGGTATGGATCCTAAAAAGCGAAAAGTGTACAGTGAAAATAGGAGGTTTCTAGAATAATGGACTGAACAATATTGTTTTACAGCCGGGGAGCAGTTCCAGTGTGCCTTATATGCAATAAAACTGTTGCTATTGTGTAATTTGAAGCGACACTATGAAACGACTCATCAGCAATTCCACAAAAACTTTCCTCTTGGCAGTGAGGCTCGTAAAGAAAAACTTCAGGCACATCTCCGTTCTTACAATAAAAACACAAAATTACTAGTTCGCTGCATGAGCGACCAAGAAAAATCCACAGGAGCAGCGTTACGTGTGTGCTGGACGCTTAATAAACACCAGAAACCATTTTCGGATTCTGAGATAGTGAAGGAATGTATGTTGGCAGCAGTCACGGCACTTTTTGAAGAAAAAAAAAGATGTCGTCGCTGGAATTCAAAATATTCCATTATCAGCAAGAAGCAATACGCGAAGAACTGAAATTTTAGCTGCTGATATTAAAATCACCCTTTTCGAACTTCTCCAAAAGGCACCTTGCTACGCTATAGCACTTGATGAGTCATGTGACATTGTTGATGATGAACAAATGTCAATTTTTGTCAGATTTCTTGACATTGAGTCTAAAACTTTTAGGGAAGAGTTGCTAACAATATTGCCTCTAAAAGGTAACACTCGAGGAGAAGATTTATTCAAGGTAATTGATGAATTTATTACTAAATCTAACATCAGTTACGATAAAATTGTGCCGCTTTCAACTGACGGGGCCCCAGCAATGATTGGCAAAGAAAAAGGTGTAGTAAAGAGAATTAGGGATAAAAATCCAGGCCTAATATCGTATCAGTGCATAATTCACCAGGCAGCCCTTTGTGGAAAACTTAGCGCTACACTGGTAAAAGTGATGGACAGCTTAGTGAAGTTAGTAAAATTTATGAGATCTCATTCTGCTCTTCAGCACCGACATTTCAAGGAGTTTCTTTTTGAATGTGATTCAGCGTATTATGACTTACTGCAACACAACAATGTTCGTTTAAAGGTCAAGTTATTGAACGTTTTTGGCTAATAAAAGAACAAGTAACCTCCTTCTTGCAAAACTTAGATACGCAGGGAGCTAAGAAGCACCTTGAGTTCGTAACAAATAAGCGCAATATGCTGGTTGTGGCTTTTCTAAAAGATATTTTGAAATATTTAAATGCGCTCAACACAGAGTTACAAGAAAATGGAAAATTAATATGTGATCTGATTGATACAAAGCGTGTCTGCTTTTCGTCGTAAGTACAATTTTGGAATATAAAAAGGAGAACTCTAAAGAAGACATTGCAGTGTTTACAACATTTTTGGCCGATCTTAGGAACGAATTTGCCATAAGATTCCAAGAATTTGCAGAGATGGGCAAGCTGTCTCTGTTTCTTAAGACACCCTTTGAAGTTGATGTAGCGGCAGAATGGACAGATGTGGCTGCCAAGTTGTTTAATCTGTCAAAGCCTTGTAATATATAAATAAAGTAAAATAAATGGAAATAATCGATTTGCAAGAAGATGTGTCTTTGCAAATATATAAAACTGTGTCAACTGAAGAATTTTGGGTCAAACATGTCCCAGTAAAATACGAAAATTGCAAAAAAACTTGCTATCAATTTGGCCACTATGTTTGGTTCGACATACGTATGCGAAACATCTTTTTCAAAGATGAATTTTTTGAAAAACAAATATCGTTCGAGATTAACGGACGCTCACTTAGAAGACACTCTTCGAATTTGCTGTTCTTCTCGAGAACCAAACTATAACCTAGTCAAGACCGTCGATGCAATTTTTCACATTAATTCTACAATTTTATAATTCAGAATTTTACTCCTACAATAAATAGCTGCCTAACACTTAATTATCATCAGTTGTTTTTTTTCTGGACCTTGTAAAAAAATTCAAGGTTTATCCGGACCCTACCTAAAACTACTTGCCGACCCCTGCACTAGACCATCGAGACAGTCACTGTCACTAGCATGAAGGTTAGAGAACAGGAGAACGATCGCCGTAGAAAATAGTGTCCCAGAAATATGGACACCATAAGTGAGGCGCTGCGATCGCTAAGTTCGGTCAATAAAAGTCATTTTCAGTCTATTTTTCCGATCAGATGCTAAACCACTTGTACAGCCACACAATAAAATATTTCTCTATTTTTTTAATGTTTCTTTTTATCAAAAATTACAAAATTGCGGAGCATGAAAATTTTCTCACCAATGCCGCGTAGAAAATTTGTACATTATTCAACTAACTTCATCTACTTGTACTCATAAAAACAGATAACTTCGCAGTTACTACTTAACGACGTCAGCGCCGCCATGTATTCTACAATTTTCAAGGACAGGCGGGCTATGCTTTAGTACGTAGTGATCGCTCTCCTGTATTGTGTGTAGTGATTGCTCTAACCTTCATTTTACCAATTTAAATCGATAATTTTGATTTGATACAGCCGACAATGAGCCGACGATTTTAAGAAATGTGATATGATGAAAACACTGTTACACTATTCATTGTTTCATATTAACTTAATAATTTTTTTTGTTTATTGCAGGCATCAAGCAACGGTGATAGCTCCTAGTGACGCTGAAGTATATATAGTAAAATAATTGTATGTATATGTGTATGTATGTACCAATTAGATTAGCGCTTTATCAAATTACATAATCACTGTCAAAGTGGGGTATAGTGTAATGTAAAAATAGAGACATCATCACACTTAGCAATCTGATATAATAATCTAAAATTGTAAAGCATTTTTGTATAAATGTATTTGATTAATTGTGGCAATAAATTGACATTACTTCGAAAGATCTTATCCAAATTAGTTTTACTAATATTTCGTGCCATATTTTCAAAATTTTGTGATCAAAATACGATTAAAAATAAGATAAGTTTAAATTACAAACTCAGTTATCTAGTAGAAAAGTTTGTTTATTTATTTAAAATGTTTATAAATGATACAATTTAGAGGAAAAAAAACCTAGAATAACTCGAATGGTCAATTTGTTGCTATTATTACTAGTAACTGAAGAAAATCGAAGATATTTGCCTCGCAATAACACGTGTATTGTTTGTAAATTGATGTTTCTGTTTATACATTAACTGTGCCATTTTACTAATGTAGTAGGTAAATCTGTTGTCATCTTTGGACCGAGCTAGTCGAATTTGCTTCTCTGAGATGTTCCCCTTATTCATGTAAACATTCGAAAATGTGTTATAGGATATT